CAAATTGTAACATGCTCCGCGCAATGTCCCAAGTTGGGAGACTTTGATTAATAAACGAAGCAATGGTGTCATATTCTGGTGGTAGGCCATGAACGAGTTGTAGAACAAGACGATTTTCGGTGACAAGGCTTTCAACATCAGAAAGTTGATTTGCTAAATCCTTGAGTTTATGGAAATACTCATCCAAGGAAGACACCGATTGCAAGGTGAGGTTGGTGAACTCGTGTTCAAGAGCTGCTGCATGAGAGCCTTTATTATTGGTAAAAATCTTCTATAACCGATGCCATGCCTTATAAGCGATGGTGTCGGTATCTAAAACTCGAACAAGAAGATCATCAGAGAGAGTACCGTATATCAATTGAAGAACGATGGCGTCGATTTCAGCCCAAGATTCATAGGTTGTATCAGTTTAAGCAGGTAGCGGCGTACCGTCAATGTGATGAAGAACCTTATATCCATGAGCATGGAGTTTGAAAAGTTTTACCCAAGAATTATATGTGACCTTCATTCCATCAAGAACGCGAATCTTGTTCTGGATGTTGGCGACGGTATAAAACAGATGTAAGGGAGATTGTTTAGGAGGGTTCAATTCATTAGGAGCCATAAGGAGGCGGGACTGTCATGGCAGAAGTGAGTGGCGATGTTAGCCGCCGGGAAAAAAGAAACAATCACTGGAGAGCCTAAGCTCTGATACCATGTAATAGGAAATAATTCCTTGAGCATTCTCATTCAATGGCAACGATATATATACATAAGTGATACAAACTTGGTTAACAATAATAAACTAATATATATCCTATATTTACACGATATGCACAATATATATATATATATATATATATATTCTAATAGGGCTAGGTTCAAATGTTAACCAAAGTTTTTGTATTAACTTTGTTAACCGATCTTAGTCATTCAATCTTTCAATAAACGGTTGTGATTAATCTTGATAAAAAATTATTTTATTAAATTTAAAATTTCATAAAAATAAGTGAACAAAGTTGAAAAGGGTATTTAGGTAAAAAAAATTATGTAACTTCCATATCATTAATTGGGAGTTACAAAATCAAAATATTATATGTTTTTTATTAATTTATTTTTGTTAATATAATAATCATATGAACACAACTATATATATATATATATATATATATATATATATGAACCATTGTGTCAAATACGAACAAAAAATTGAACTTGGACTGCATAGCATTTATGAACACAATAAGAACAACTGTTATACGAAAGAAAATAAATAAATAAAACAAGTATGAACACAATATGAACAGCTTGTGAACAGTAGTTCCTTTATTATAAACACATTCAGGAGCGATACTTTGTCAATTGAAGTTTTATACATGCATTGCATCCACACCGTTTAAGATTCACCACTTATTCATATATGTTTCTGGTCTTATGTGGTTGTTTACCCCTTGTTCATATCGTATAAAATATATGAACACATAACCCTGACGTTATGAACACCGGGTGCAAACACTTATACAAATATAAAGATTTGGTATCAAGCTTAAGAAATAACACTTGTGTTAATATGATAGAAGTAACACACTACTAGAAAACCAGGTATCAGCGACGACTATCAGCGAGGGAATTTTTCCCTCGCAGATCAGCGAGGGATCAGCGAGGGAAATGACAAAAAAC